ATAAGTTCATACTGTGTAGATCGGAACAAAAGTTAAATTTTAATCTATGGTAACCGCGGTTAACTATGACATCTGGACGTTGAACATCTCAGTCCTTCCCGTGACCATGGGTGGTGTAAAGCTCTCGAAACGTCGGGTATTAAAAAGTTAAATATACGCGATAAATTCCGTAAAAACTAGTATTATTTCAATGCTGCATTTTTGTTTTTATTTTTTGTAAAATATCAATGTCGTAGGCTTCTATTCCGTTCACATGTTACACCCTATTTTTTTTTCCAGACGGTAAAAAAGGTCATACAGTATAAGGCCGACCTTGCGCTTTGTATACGGTATTTGTATAATGTATACTGGCATGAAATTGACCAATTTGGCCTTCCCTTCCTAATGACAGCGAAGCTCATATAAACAAGGGAATCAGTGGACACTTCCGCATCAACAAGGAACCTCTTTGTCGTATCACTCAATTGAGAAGATACGACAGAGGGGTTCCTTGTTGACGTGTTTAGTACGTATATCACTTTTCTCCCTGTTCCCTGGACGTCCACAAGTCAAACAGGGCCGACTGAATCCCCCAATTATGCTGGCGACGTTTTTACTCTACAGTTGGAACCGGTTCCTATGCTGTCACCTACACTGTATCTTCTGCATGTCATGATATGTTGCGAACATCAATATCATTCATTGCTATGCAGATAACATCACTGGTATCGAATTAAAATGACAGAAAACTTAGTAAATTATTTTTGAAATAAAGTCCCGGATCAGCGACGACTCAACCTAGTCCAGTTTAACTCTCGGAAGGTACAGGTTTGCGCTTTACCGCAAAATAGGACCTCAACTAAAAAGCACTTATAATTTAAATAAATTAATTTAATTGCTTACTCGTGACGTGTAACTACTGCTAGTTAACTACTAAAATTATCACACTGAGATGACTCCACATTTATGAGCAACTAAGCGTGCCCTATCACTATCACACTGGAGTTAAATTATCATAAAAGCGCACTTTAGAGGTTGTGTGTTTTTCAGTATAAACGATACTACTAGGCCGATAAAAATAAATATCTGTATTTATTTTTATCGGTGTCATTAATCAGTCATCAAATACCATTATTTATTTTATCGGCGTTAGAAATATTTTCTGTATTATTATCAGCTTAAATATCTTAAAAAATCGAAACCTATTATAATATTACCGCATTGATGATATTTTTAAATCACAAATTTTTATTATTACCTACTTTTATATAATTTATTTTAAAGGCATAGAGGCGAAATGATTAGGACTTAAAGCTGTAACATTTAAGAAAATAAAAATTGCTTCGAATTTTTATTTTCTGAACTAACTGAGTTGGGTACGGTCAGGGTGAATTAAAGGGTAGTCTTTTGTTTTTTTGACAACGAATGTTTGAAAATCAGTAAAGACTTGATTTTCCGTCAAGTTTTGAGGCCATCGACAGTATATGTTTTGTTGTTTTTATTAACGAAAAAAAATCTCTTATATAATATATACCCGGAATAAAACTTTCAAACTCGAACAAGACGTATATAAACACATTGGAACAACAAAAGCTTTAAATGAAACTAATCTTACGGATTTTATTCGCGTAAATATTATAAATCATTGTCAAAAACTTTTGTTGATCACGTACTTTTTCTCGCATACCCTGTAAAGTGTATGGACGACACTTAACAGGGTTTCTTCGGCAATCTTAAATCATGCCTGTACGAAATTTCGTTGGTGTGTTCACTTTGTTTTGCTTCAATTTGCAAATTGCTTCCGCTCGAGGCTGTTCGATGGCATTGAGACAACATTACCCTTGTCGCTTGATTGACATAATAAGCGCGACGTCTAAGGTAACCCACATAGAGTTACCTTAGACGTCGCGCACTTAGGCTCACCTTTTAAGATGTACCTATCTTTTTTTCACTCGCTTCGCTCACGGATGTGTGATTTAATCCCCTTGGCCCGCATTCATAAAATGCAAAGTAAATATGCCTATCTTGATCAAACGAATCGCGAAAATTAGACATTTTTTCTGTTTAGAATAAATCATTAACTAGTGCCAGCGTTAGATATGGCAATTCATCTGTTTTACAATTAACGGTGTTGCTATTTTAATAATGTGCCGCACGGGCTCAATGAATGTCAATTGAAAAACACAATTGTTTGGTGACCTTGGCGGAGTGTTCGATGCTAAAACTGACTATTGTTCTGTAGTTATTTCAACATGCATATGCATCCCAATAAACTAGCTCATTGTGCTATATAATCCACATGATATATCCTCTCTATTCGAAACTCTGAAAAAAAAAATATCTAGATCGATTCCCAATGCCATCATTCACAGCGCAACTATGTTATTGAATCGATATTGAAATCGAAATTCAACCGAGTTAAGTTGGTAGCTATTTATAAAAGTGCGCGGGAACTTTCCCCGCCGCGGCACGACGCGCTAATCGCTGACAAGACAACTATGTAGTTACGAAAGCTGCGCCCGCTTATATGGCGTCGACACTTGTCTCTGTGGTTTCTTCACATAATAAGCGATTTTCACATTGCTTTATTACCGCTCTTTAATAAGTTTTCTTTCCAGAAATTTTGTGTTTTCTAATAAATAACATATTGTAGACTGCCATCCGCCCCGGCTCCGCCTACGTTAAAACTCTGTTTTTCGCATTTTAAAAAATTTCAAACATTTCAGATAAAATATAGATCACTCCTGGCATCTATCTGTTCGTGAAGTTTCATCATAATCTCTATAGCCATTCCGGAAGTTAGACCAGATAGTTAAGATGGATAGACAGACAAAACTTTTAAAAATAGTCATTCATGTTTTAATACTATGCAAATGACGAACCTTAGCTCAATAAATGGCTGTTATTTTATTAAAAATTTATTATTGCATGTTCATATTAAAGCGTTTTTACTTAAACATAATTATCGATTATGGACTAAACACATACATTTTTTTTTAATTTTAAATACAATTTTTGGGTAGGTGTATAACTATTTACAACTCGATTCCCAATAATACCTATTACCTACTACTGATTTGCCTTTGCAAAAGTTCAAAGCGCGTCTGAATAACGTTATTTTAAAGAAAGAATAATATTCCAAATAAATTATTATGTAAAAGATAAAATTGCTTTGGTATATGGAGATTTGTAAGATTTTCTTGATTTGTGTACGTTAGGTATATATTATATAAGGTTAAATTCGCAACTGTTAGAAAAAGAATAGTTTTTTTTATGTGTTTTTCTTGCAGCTTCTTTTCACAAGTCACTTGCAGTAGGGACTTGTTGAAGTGATGGCGTAGCTTTCAATTGCTCTAAATAGGCCAATTTTGGACAAAAATATTATGACGATAACTATATATACTCGTCCATGTTTGTCAGCAAACACCTACATATACAACATAAATTGATACAATACAATCATTGTTGGAGTCGTTTTGTTTTTGTTGTGTGTCACAACCATGAAAATTCTATATTAACTATATAATATAACTAGCTTGCCAGGCAGACGTTGTTCCCTTTTTGACGACAATTTGTCCTATTAAAAATCCTGAAATTCGCAAAATAAAATTGTGAGTCACTCATGGGCAAAAAAAAAACTATCCTATATCTCAAGTTGGACCAAACTGCACACGGTGTGTAAAGTTGATTAATATCGGTTAAGTAATTCAGGAGTCCATCGCAAACAAACAACGTGACACGTAATTTATACATATTAAAATATTCATAATTAATAAAAAAATTTAAAACAAAAATAGCATACATCACTATTTAAAAATATTTCTTAACAGTGGAAGAAGGCTGGAAGGTTTTAGTGATTTTCAGTTGATTAATGAATCGTCGCCCTTTAAAAGCGTAACTCACTTGCAATGAAACGTCAAAGCAACGATTAAAACTAATTCACATGTCGTTTGAATCTTCTTACATAACAGTTTATTACACGTTTTAAATATACGATTAGTATTTCCGAAACAGTTTTTGTAATACGATATTTCATAGTAATAAATGCGAAAATAAGTAGATAGGATTTTAACAACAAGAGGCATTAATTAATCAAAACTTTTTCGCATTTCTTTGTGCCTTAAGGCGTCTTCCTAAGAGGGTACTTAGCAGAAAATATTTAGTCGCGCAAATCTTAACGTTCTAATATAACCCCGTTTGGATTTTATAAAAATATTTATTGTGTCTATTATAAAGAAAAATTTACACATAACACTCGGATTACAGATGTTTGTACTCTTAGACGTAACGCAAGGCGTTAGAAAATCAATAACCTCATTTCTTCCCTTGAGTGTCGTAAGAGGTGACTATGGGAATACCAGAAATACCTTCCGCCGGCGGTAAAACCATTTCGCTTACGCCGGAGCGGTGACGAGAAACAGTGTCAAAGGTGCGAAGCGAAAAGTCTGCTACCACAATCCACAGTCCCCTGTCAAGTATGACGATTGAGACAAACCTTCCTGTGAATCAGCGGAAGAGCTCTATGTCCAGCTGTGCTCTCTTACTGGCTGATGTAAATGAAGGAGAATAAGAGATTAACTGTTAATACATGTCGGTTTAATTAAAATGTTAACAAGTTTACATTACGTAGTTAGTTATAAGGTGATGGATTACATCAGATATGTTATAATTTAATGCATATCGTTGAGATTAACTGGCGTGTTATAATGTTGTCATATCTCTTACACATTCATGATTAATATGTTTTACATTCTAAGGCGGAAAATCGTTAAAACTATTTAGATTCACACCTTTAACTTGTATTTGAAATGACGCGGATATTGTCGCTGATATATATCGGTTTTGCCACACAAATGCATCGGGAAGTTAATTCACTGCGAGTAATCGTTATTATGTTTAAGGGTGCGAAGTCATGTCCTTTGTTTAAATTATTGAACGATGGTTGAAAAAAATGGCGGTGACATTAAGAGGCGCTCTCCGTAAGTGAAGTGTCAGTGTGTTCGTGCTAGTTAAATTAAACGATGAGTAGTGGAGAGCCAACGCTGATGGAGTCGCCGGTGCCGCTGGCGCTCGCGAGGCTGGCGACAAGGCCCGGGCGCGCGCCTCGCGGCATGCGCGCCCACCGCCCCAGCCTCACGCTCGCTAGCCTGCAGGAAGCCGCCGACGAAACCCCGCGCCGCTACAGCAAGGAATCCTTAGCACCAGATACCGATGACGACGAACCATTCTACGATGCAATCGTCCAAAGCAAATCGTTTAAGACGGCGTCGAATGGACGCAGAGCTTCCGAAGCTGCATTCGCCGAACGATACAGAAAACTGAACGACTTTGACGGCCCACCGCCCGAGGTGCCCCGCCGAGCATCCCTGGCCGTGCCCGTCGGCGACGGATTCGGGCCCAGTGACAAAGGCAGGAGACGCTCTTGGGCGGCGAAGCTGCAACTTGAGCGCAAGAAAAGAAGAAAATCAGGCGACAACGACACCGACGACGACGAGAACGATGCTCCGGTTTATATAAGGCAGAAGAGGCCGTCCTGGTGGAACGTCTTCGTACCTGATAATATGCTAAAAAATAGGTATTTCTTATTTTTATTTTTTTTCTATTATTTCAATAAATGTATCTTGTGTTAAATCAATAGTACGTTTTAATCAAGTTGCTTGCATATATTTAATTTCTAGTGAGACATTGTGTCAGCGAGACCGGCTACTCATGAATAATGAATCAGTTTGCTACTGCAGATAGATCTTTTATGGCAACGCTTACGTTCCTTTTGATGTGCGTGTATGGGATTGAAATGGAAATCTATGTACACTGCACTATGATACTAAAGCTCCTTGACCCGGTGCTCCAACTCCGATTGTTAATGTTCAATTACTGAACGTGCTTTCGTCGGGCTTGGTTACATTTGTAACGATTTGCTCTCGTTTAATATAAGTCATGTTAGTTATCATTTTAACAACTTAATTGATTAGTTAATACACTAATTTGTTACATGGATTAAAACCACACAAACAACTTAATAATAATTCGTAAAATTGGAATTAGTGTAGACTACAAAATTAATACCTAAGTAAAAAATAAATAATTTGCGGCCATTTTATTTTTTATTTGTTGTTTTTTATTCAAAATACTATTAATATTTAAATTTAAAAGTACATTAATAGCGTCATAGCATAACGGTGAATATATAAACTAAACAGTTTTTGTAAAGCCTTAATGCATACTAAGTTAAAGGAATCAAACTTTCAAAAACATTTTAATAGTAAAATCGTTGCTTTTATGAAAAAGTTAATTATTAATAATTAAGGAAAAGTAATTTTAACGTAACTAAAAAACGTAATTAATAAACCGTTTAACTTACAAAATGTGCATTCGAGGTGTGCACTTTTGAATTTTACCAAATTTTTTTTTATTCACTCATACATGCAGGTGTCCTAACGATGTAACTTTCTTCCCTGCCGAGCACGTAGTAAATCAGCACCTAAAATTGCATTTAACAATTTCATTGACTTTTTTTATTTGCATTATGTTTTTTATTGACATTACTCGCTTCATTCGCGTGACATGAAATTAGAGCAAACCCTTATCACCTAAGCTGCTACGCCATAATTTGAATCATTAAAAGTAATAGTAAAGACCCATAGCAACCTTTTCTTATGAACTGTGCATAAATTGCTTTTCTCATTAAACTAATTTGCATTGAGATCCTTATCATAATGATATTTACTACTTATATTCTAATTATAAATAACAGTGAAAAGGCGAAAAATTCCATGACTGCGAGGTCCTGCTGCTCATTTATTCAACGTTTTGTTTATAGTTAGTATATTTGCGTAATATAGGTATATTTATGACATCCGTTATCATCAAAAACACATCACAGACACTATCAAGATTTATCTGAGCGTTGTTTCTTGCGTTATCGCTAATTATTTCTTTTTTATAAGCGTTTGATACGGTTTAATTTTTATTCAATAATATTTATATCGCATATAGTTATTATTGAATCACTAGCAAGAGAGTTGTGATAGGTAGGCGATCGCGAATTTGCTTGCTCTTCCTTCTATAGTACTTTGTACCAGGTCTCAACTAGAACATGTCGCGTCCACATGTTAATTTCACCACCCCAGGCCCCTCCGTGGCCATGAGGGCTGTAAAGTGTTTGGAACGTCATAAATATAAAATAAGTTAATATACGCGATGAAATCCGTAAAAATAGTTTTATTTAAATAGCTGAGATATGCTTGCGAGCTGATTGATGATTCCAAACTTCTACTTTCCATCAAAATTTATTGTGTTATATCCTTTTTTTTAATAATTAAACCCGCCCAATTAATGGTTCGGTTTCTCTTTTTTTTATAGAAGAGGGGGCAAACGAGCATACGGTTCACCTGATATTGATTACCGCCGCCCATGAACATCCGCAACACCAGCGGAATTGCAGGTCCTTTAGAAGGGTTTAAGCAAAAAAATCTCTAAATTCAAAAACAATTCTAATGGTTGGGATCATTAGATTGTTGTTGAATACCTATATTATTATGCCCCTTTACCTATTTCTGTTGCAAAACAATAGTACTCACTATAGTGTTTCTAGAAGAGTAAGAGATCCATTTAATCAAAATTCTCAACGGTGGCAGAGTTTGCGGTTGTGTATTGGCTGCAGTATAGCCTTTTGTCGGTTGGTCTGTTATCTTTTTATTCACCTAAATATAAAAAAGAGGGTCACAATATCTCGACGACGCGCGTTTACACATTATATTATGTTAAAAAATGTTGAAATTATATTGAGCGGGTTAGAGATTACATATTATAATTTGTGTATTATTGTTATTGCTATATTATCTGATTCGTGCAAATTCGCTTACGTAAAATTTGGGTAAATTTAGAGACCTTCAACAAAAAAAGCTTAGTCCTTTCTAAAAAGCTGGTAACGCACCAGCAATTCCCCTGGTGTTGCGGTTGATCATGGGCGGCGGTAGTCACTTACCATCAGGTGAGCCGCATGCTCGTTTGACCCCTCTTCTATAAATAAATTAGATTTTTTGTACTTTATAATTGTATGTAATAATATGTAATATTTTGGACAAACCTAATAAAAGAAACGAAAATAATTAGTTAAATAGTAATTAAACGCTGCTATTTCGTATGGTGAGTGTAGAGAACCGGCGTCCCGTTTTACTGGAAATGAGGCATTCCATCTTAGTCTTACTCTTAGTGCATTTTGATTCGTTATGGAGGATAGATGTCTATGGACCACGGCAATCACCATCAAGTGAACTGTGTGCTCGTTTTTCACACCCATCTTATATTTTAAAAAACATGTTAATAAAGCAGCTAATGAGATCATTTTACTCCGACTAGTTTTTATAAATAAACTGATATCAAATTGAAAACAATTTTTATCACGCCGAAGATGTTAGCGAACAGCTTAGCTATTCTATTTGTGAATCAGTAAATGCAATCAGCTTGTGCCTGACTAGAATTCGTTCGAATTGGTGGTAAGTGGTGATGTAGTCCTAAACCTAGATGGTAAATTGAACTGTTTCATGTACTCAGTCTTACTCTTGCCTCGAAAACAGCCCAGATTGGACTCGGACGGTAACACAGCACCGTCAGATTATTTTCATTCCACTCCATTGCTGTATACGTACCTATTCCGAAATGCGAAGTAAACCCATTAGTTCGAATACGTGGAATATCGACAACAAAGTGCTGAAGACCCGCCGACCGCCTGCTTGTTCGATTGTGAAAAGGAGAGGGTGGAATTAAGACATGCAAATACACACTCTCCAGTGTGGATGAATGGCATACCGAAAGGCTTTGCTACTCTGCGCCTATGCTCTAGATTGACAAGGTTGGTTTCAACCAAATCAAGGCTACCAATAAGCCTTTTAGCTCGTTTCTTCACTGAGTTCAACGCTGTTAGATGTTATTTTTACATCAAATTATGTGAGCGCAATACTAACATTTAGTTTTTATTGTAAATCACGTACAAAGTAAACATTTTATCGACAAAGTTATTTAATATTATAGAAGTTTTATTCGCTTAACTGAATATATCTAACTCTTAGAGTATACATAAGCATAGCTTGCTTGTGTACTTATACTCTAAGGTCTAACTAGTTTATTTTATATGATTGACAAATATTTTGCCAGAGGTATACAGAACCGTCGTAAAGGTGTACCCAAATAAGATTATTGCTAATCGTTTACATTATTTAGCACTTTCATTAGAACCTGTACCTCTTCACGATTTCTTTGGATCGTCTTGGATCGAACGTGCACAGCATGTTATCGATTGCTTGTATTATGTGTAAAACGTACCATTTTCACCTTGACTCGTTTGCTATCTCTTTTAGTGGATTACAATTTTATATGTTTTTAGTCACGTTTAATTTGGCCTCTGCCCTTTTTGAGACTCTTCCTATTATAATTATTTTATGTATACCAAATCTAAAGCTTTCCAATGTATCCACGGCTGTTATTTATCACCGGGCAATAAGTCAACATTATTGTTGTTCCTTAATACGCTCTCTGTAGGTTTTCTCTAATCACGTAAAGAAAAAAGTGCAAAGGCACCTCACGTTTCGTTTTTATATAGGTACGTGCCTTCGTACTCGTCGCGCACGTTCAAGTTGTCTGTTGGATGTGTAACGCCTATAAAATTATCGTTTTGCAGTTGACGTCTGTACGTCTGTAAGCGATTACGCGATTTCTAAATGGCGTCTTCTAAGCTGCGGTATAAAACTTTTTTTTTTTTGAGTGAGTCATAGGCTAGTAAGACATTAATACAACGAAATGAGCTAACATAAAATAGAAAATAGAAACAGTCATGCAACTTTGTATCGAAACTTTTTACAGTTTCATTTGCATCGACCACCATCTTCGGCCCATTAGCAAGAGTAAGTTGTGCAAATTTGTAAAACAAATAGCTCGGAAATATTTTAATCATGATTCACGTTGCATTGTCCACACCCTAATTATGACAAAGGTAGTGATATGGCAAGACCGTTCATTGTGGTTCACAACTCACTACGGCGAACATATCACGTCACGGGGCGAAATGGTTTCATCACACTTCGCGTGGCCTCCACGTTAGCTTCCGCAATCGTGCGTTCACCTTTATTTCTTTGTGCTGCAGGCTACTTACCTCTTGATCTGCTTTGGCCTTAGACTTTAAATGATATCGTAAAGTTGTCTTAAGTACATATTAGTAAATTAAGTAAGTTGTAAGTATTTTAAAAGTGAAATATTTTCGCTTAACCATAGAATATGTTAAAGTTTGTAGGTCGTCGCTTGACCTTTATTCTATAACTAAAACAACTGCATGATGAATTTAATATACTTTAATATTTAAGATTTCTTTTCACTCTTTCTTTGAATATCCCAACATTATTTTATAATAATCAAAATGCTGATGCGTTGTCACCCCTGAAGACTAAGATGGAATGCCTCGCTTCCAGTAAATGTGTCAGTAACATTAAAGTGCAGGTGTTCGACTACAATAGACACTTACATTTAACATTAGCTCGTTACACGCTCTAATATTATGAAAAACTAATTCTACTTTGGTAC